GTCCCACATTGGTTTGGAAACAAGATTTGCCCCCCTTATATACATGAGCTCTTTTCAAGCTTGTAGAATTGTATAGCATAGAGGCTCTCTCGCGCGGGGGGGGGGGGGGGGGGGGGGGGGGTGCAAATCAAAATCCAACTAGAAGAGCTCAAAAGGCTTGAATCAAGCCCGAGCTCGCGTGCGCGGGCACGAATGTCGTCCGGAAATTGGCTGGCCGTGCGGGCTAAGTTATGCCAAACTTCGGTATCATTTTCCATCTGTTATAGTCACTTGGTTCGGCCAAAACCGAACCGAGAGCACCTACTCTCGTGTGTAGCACGAGAGGTTGTGGTGCACCGAGAGCACCTACTCTCGCGTGTAGCACGAGAGGTTGTGGTGCACCGAGAGCACAACTCTCGTGCATCTGTGACCACGAGAGCAGTGCACTCTCGGGTTGCACCACAGTGCACACGAGAGTAACCTGCACCCAACGGTCTGAAACCCGAAAGTTCAGCCCGTTGTACAGATTAAACTCATCTGTTACGGAATTAATACTGTTTTAATTCCAATTTTAAATTCGGAGTTTAATCCTACTTAGTGGGTGACCGTTACAGGTGTTACACAATTGGTTTTAATCCCAATTTACTGCCATGTTAAATGCTATCCCTTCCAACGAGCCCTATATAAAGAAGAGGTTGGGCAGAAGCATTTTACACACACACAGTGAGAAAAACGAAGGAATTCCAGTATAGTTTTCAGCTTCAAAACTTCTGCTTCTACTCTCTTCTTTCCCCAGCTGTGTTCCAGCTTTGTTTTGTTCGCCGGGCTCTTTGTTTAGGTGCTTAAACAAAGAGTCGTAGCACGTTTTATCCTGGGAAACCTAGGCTACAACGCTCCTAGCACTTGTGGGAGGTAGCAAATAAGGTTTTAAGGAAAAGAACCTTGTGTTCGAACTCGTGCTAAAGCCTTCACCCAAACACTCAACTCTTTTCCTTCCCGGTTTTCTGTTTTCCCTAAGTTATAATAATTTTCTGTAGAATTATTATATTTGGGGATTTTTCACCTTTTTACCCAACAAACTGTAATAACGAGGAACCTGACTTCGTAATAGCAGAAGTTTTAGAAATGTGAAATCTGACTTGTGTTTTTTTTTTTTTTTCTTTTTTTTTGAAAACATCCGGGTTAATGAAATTTGCATTATGAAATTTGATTTTTAATTATATGTTTAGTTGACATTTTATTAATTTAATTTTGAAAATTTATTCATTGTGTGTTGTCTTTTACCACTTTGAATACACAATACTTCAAAAACAACATTTTGTAAAACCGTTGTCTTTGTGTGTTTTATTTTTTTAAAGACAACAGTTTTATTTATTCCTTATCATTTGTGTGTTGTCTTTTACCGCACTTTAACTATAACAATTATTATTTTTAGTTTAACTTTAAAGTTTAAATATTTAATATAATGATATATGGACAAATACTATATTCTAATAAAGTCAGTGGTACTCTGATCTATTACTAATATATAATGTAAGTGTCAAATGAGCTCTCTAACTAATTATAGTAATGTAATTAATTGGACCATACCTTTAAATTTATTATTATTTATTTTGAAATGAAAAAAAAAAAAAAAAACACTATCACTGTGGTAAAAAAAAAATAAAAAAATACCATTATTAACATTTTAAACGGGTTATCTTAAAACTGGCTTACTAGATACTTTTAGCTATATTAATCACATAATGAGTTAATTATTGAGAAACATAAAACTATATTATTTGCGATTGGATTTGATTTTAAAAAATGGAAGAAACTCAATAAAGTAGCGTAATATTTGGCTTTATTGTTCCAATAACAATTAACATTAATTCAAAAGGTCAATGGTTTTCGAGAAGCGACCATATAAAACTGACACCTTAGCTTGAATTCTTTGAATAATTTAGGAAAGCTAATAAATCTCAGCCATCCAACACTTGTCACTTTTGAATGCCATCGATCACCATTCTTTAGCAAAGGAAATGCCCCAAAACTAGAATATGTATGACCTTAAAAAACAAAAACAAAACAAAAACAAAACAAAACAAAAAAAAAAACAAAAAAAAAAAAAGGAAAGAGAGCAAGTGCTACTGCATTTCCTTATAGGGGTATTTGATAAATAGTTGTTAGCTGACCGTTAGCTGATTGAGTTAGTGAGTTTGATTAGTTGATAACATTAGCTGATTATAGAAAAATGTTTGATAAATTAGTTGTTAGCTGATAGCTGATTACATGTAAACATGACTTTATCAAAAAATTGTTTGAAAAAACTGTTTTGACCAGCTTTTTGAATTTTAGCATTTTGAAACATTAAGATGTTACAAAAAACTAATTAATTAAACACTCATTTGATTGTTTAACCAAGTCAAACTGCTAATAGTAATCAAATAAGTCAAAATTGACTAATAAGCTAACTATGTTACCAAACAGGACAATAGTCAAGAATTATATAGCAAGTACTAAATATAGACATTATATAATGATTTTAGTCAATAATTCTATAAAAAAAATTATAGATCATGTGAACACATCTCATATATACCCACATGTTATCCATCAGATAATGGTTTTTAGGGCATTCATTCCTACCATCCATACCTAATAATTGGTCCAACATCTTACTATTTTATTTAACTTTACCCCTAATTAATTCATCCTCTCTCTGTGGTCCCTGAGATAATATATATATACCCTCTGCATCTCTCTATTATTTTATATAGCCATGCATATATACCTATACCAACCTTAAATTTATTATATTTGGCTAGCAAGCTAGCTTTCATGAATGATTTGATGAATCCACTTTACTCGATCACTTGTCCACTTCACATCTAAATTTTGAGGAAACTTTCATGCTTATCGAGTTAAAATCATCTTATTCTGTAAAAAATAGTATAAACAGAGAAGTAGAGATGCCCTTGGCCATGTGCAGTCAAAGCCATCGAAGGGCACTCAATATTTTGGGCCCAACTTTAAAAAAAAATTATATATAATTTATGATTTTCAATCTTTTTAGAATCTATAAATTAATTTTAATTGTAATTGAAAATAAAAATTCTGAAAGAAACGGAGAACGAAATTTTAGTAAATAATTTTGTTTTTTAAAATAACAAACTAATAATCATTACGGACTGAAGAAGTTAGAAATACAATGAGGTGAGGAAAATACTCACAAACTTAAGACAGACGAAGAACTAGTTGTCCGTGTAAATGCATGAGCCACTTAATTCGCTGACCTCTTGATATGACGAACAATGATGTTCTCAATAAAATGTCACTTTAAAATTAAATTTTAAATTGTTTAAAGAACTCAACTTTGAAGTATTAGACATGATATCTAGTTATAATGGATCGACCTAAATATATAGAAGAATAAGCACTTGTGTGGACCAAGTGCAAGCGTTACAAGTGATGATATCGAAATAAAGTAGAAGAAAAAACGGTGATGGGTAAAGCTAAAAGGTTGGGGATTTTTATATATATTAAAGTATTGAGTGAAGGGCACCTTATTCGGCCGCCACCAGCATAAACATAGGAAAAGATATATCATCATGCATGCTGCTTAGCTTATGTAACAATTATTTGGATCATTATCCTTCTTTAAGAATCACCATCACTTTGGAAAAAAAAAAAAAAAAGATGCATAGAACCTAGGCCCTATTCTAATCCCAAATCAAACTTATAATCATGATATATACCCACAAAACTACCTCATGCAAATAAATAATATATATATATATTGAGGTTCTGGTGCGGTAATTTACTCAGGTGCGGATGTGTAATTTAATATGAGTCGTTGATTAAATTTAGATCAACGGCTCAAATCAACAAAAATTAAATATAAAAAAACGACCCCTGGATGGAACCAAGCAACTTAACCTTAAGTATGAAAATGACGCACCTTAAATACACAAACCACGCACCTTAAATACACAAATCACGCACGTTAAGTACACAAACCACGCACCTTAAATACACAAATCACGCACGTTAAGAACACAAACCACGCGCACCTAAAGTTTTAGGCCAACACACATTAAGTACACAAATCACACGCACCTTAAGCACACAAACAAAGCATCCTAAGAACACGAACAACGCACCTAAGGTTTTAAAATGGCGCACCGTACGTTAAGTTTCAACAATTGACGCACCTTTAACATACAAATCACGCACGTTAAGAAGGAAAACAATACACCTTAAGAAGGAAAACTACGCACCTTAAGTTTCAACACTGACACACCTAAGCACACAAATCACGTACCTTAAGAAGGAAAACCATGCATCTTAGCAATCACACAACTGCACCTGAAAAGACCAACCGCACGAAAACTCATATATATATATATATATATATATATATATATATATATATATATATATATATATATGGAAAGTTTACAATATGTGTTGATGGACATCAATGTCTCTTACACTGGATAGAAGCTAAAAACCTTTGTAAGAAGTTTTAAGTTTGTATCGGATAAGCTAGGTACCCTTGCCTATACAAATTCAAACTAATAATATTTTCATTCACTTATGAGTAAGTTGTACTCAATGCAAGAGTTATTACTAGCTACTAATAGACACCTTAAACTTTTCCTACTTAAATTATTGGTTAGGTGGTTGGATATAAGATTTTTTTTCTAAATTATTATTTATATATATATAATTTCTATTTTTAAAAAAATTATGTACTTATAATTACTTATAAATTAATTCATCACATCACCAATAATCTGAAAAAGTAGACATCATTGGTGTGACGACCAAGATTAGGTTCAATTTATTTTTGTTTAATATCCAATGCTATGGCCATATATATATGTATATGGAAAACTAGATTCACATGACATGTGAATGGGGTTAGAATTGGTAAAGGATCGGATGACCTCAAGAACAACTGAAGTTGCCGTGTCAGCAGATACTAAACACTTACACTGCTCTCTATATAAAGAAATGAGGCGTGAAGATGAGGAGAACAGACAGGGAGAACCTCAAACTCAAACTGTGAAATAACCCATCCATCACACACTAACGTTATCTCCAACAAGAATATAATTTTTGTTGTTGTCTGGTCATGTCGTTCAAAGTTGCGGCAGTGGCGGAGAAACTGCCGGAGGTGGTGGTGAGGCAGTACGAGGAGGAGAGAGACAAGGTGGCGGTGGAGGAGCTAGAGTCACAGTGCGAGGTCGGGCAAGAGGGGAAGCCCCGCCTTGTCATTGACCTCTTGGATGATCCTATTGGCCGCGTTCGAAATGCTCCGTTACATGTCATGATGGTATAGTAATTACTTTCACTTCTATTTCTTATCTTAGTTATATATAAATACAATAATTTTTTCCTATTTTTGGATCATGGAGGAAGACAAAATATATATTATTGCATGGTACTATATAGTTTAGTTGTTAGATCAAAATAATATAACGATATTGAATAATAGTATACGAAAAACCTGACCTTATATAAGCAGAAGCAGTGTTGTGTATGAGTACCGTTAGTTTCATGTACACCTATGTGTACAGTACATTAATAACCATCCATTCAATCTCATGGACAACCTTGCCTAATTGACAAGAGTTTTAGTATAGAATCATTAATTATATTAAGAATTTGAATTTACCTTCTATATTTTTAATACTGCCCTATAACGTAATATAAATTTTTTTAATGATAAATTCTTCAATTCATTTGTGTGTGAAAAATCTCTTCTAATAAAACAGTGGACAAATCTAAATTGTCAATTTAGATCTAACCGTTGAAAATAATGTAAAAAGGAGCGGATTAGTTTCATATATATATATTATAAATTATGAAGTTTGTAATATTTATGAAATTGGTCTCATTTTTTCTTCATTGTTCGTGAGGGAAAAGTATATGTTAATTGATGGTATTTTTTGTGAATTGAAAATAAAGGTTGCGGAGCATGGGATATCGAAAGAAATCGTTGGAGTTATAAGAGGTTCTATTAGAAGTGTGAGCCGAGGACAGAAGGGCAAGAATGATAATTCTACAGATTATGTCGACGTTGCATATATCCTTGGCCTAAGGGTTTCATCACAACACAGGTATATATATCATATATGCATGTGTCTATATATGCGAGTATATGTTTTTGTTTTTGTTTTTAAAACTCATAATTAAAAAATCGCTAGGTTCTCCTCGGATGCTTGAGAGACGCCTAGCGTCTCGGCGGCAATTAATGGGCGTCTAGGTGCCCATGTATTTTTTATTTTTTAAAAAATTGTTAAAATTTTTTTATTTAATTTTATAAGACTTGATAATTATAAATTATTTAATACTTTAATAGTTAATACTAAAATATTAAATATTAACCTAAAAACCATCTAGAGTTTGAACAATTAATTTAGGGTTATTTCGCTCAAAACGATGTCGTTTTTAGTGAAATAACTCATTTAAAAAAAAAAAAAAAAAAAAAAGGAGAACAATTGCTAATCAGCTGACTAGGCAACGTAATCTAGTCAGCCTAATTGGTGCCTAAGAGTCCTTGGCGATAAGTGTCTAGGTGGCCTAGTCGGCCAACTACCTAAACCACCGATAATGGTGATATGCTAGGCGACGACTGGGGAGATTTTTTGCAACACTGTTAAAACCCCATCCCCAAAGAAAAAAAAAAACATTAGAATTAAGATAGATTTACACAAACAAACAAACAAACAATAGTATGAAACTTTTAAAACGAGTTTCGTCCATTATTACAACGTAATGAAGTAATGATGCACACAGCACATAGGCAATACTATATATGGTTGGAGTAACAGAAAAATGAATTGAAATACCTAAAAATTTTATTAATTTATTTTTAAAAAATATGCCGATAAATTAAATACCTATAAATTTTTCAGTAGACAAATTCAGTTTTTCTTACCCTAAAAATTTCAATGAAAGTGGTGCTATTGGAGAAATTCAATCATTCCAACTTCATCCATCTACCAAAGAGATCAATCTTTAGTGACACTCATCATTGATATAAAAAACATTTCCAACACTACATTAATTATTAAGGCTTCACATAACAATTAACATCACTAAATAATCTATCCACCACTTCAATTTGTTGCATTCAAAAGCTAAGCTAGAGAAAGAAAAGAAGAATTTTAGTTGCTAAGTGCATGTATACGTGGTTGTATTATTCTCTAATCTATGTTAAGATTTGTTTAAGCAAAAGAACACCAACTTTTTTTGGCAATATAATGGAACCATCACTTTAACAAATTCCAAGTAAAGAAAAAGCAAGGCTTGGGATTGGTACAAATGTATTTGCACTTTTGCTTATCATATACTACTATACATATATGTTTGCAATCTAGTGCTAATCAGATCAATATATAGTTGCGATAATATCTCACAACTAAATTATGCGGGCACTATTATAATTAATAAATTAATTATCAACTTACAGCTTGTGGATCAACATATCATGAGTTGACATAATTGAATTGATAACTTAAAAGGTTAGTAAATTGACCCATTATTAAGTGTCGGGTAGGTAAAATAGAATAACTTATTATTTTTCTTGGTTTGATCCGACAAGCTGGGTTTATCTATTGTGGTGTTTAATAAACCTTGAATTTGATCAAGGTGTTTAACCCTAGCTAGTCAAGTTGATCGGGTTGTTGACTTGGGTAACCACAAGATTACAAGTGCGGTAACTCTGATCTCCGTGAAAACAACCTATTATTTTTCATGGTTTGAGCAAGCCGTTTAATTTACCCAATGTGGTGTTTAATAAACCATTGCTGAAAATTATGAAATTTTCGACCACCTGAAAATGATCTTAAATCAAGTCGAAAGTCTTGTTCCGACCACTTTTGGTATTCGGAAAAACCTTTGTTGCTATTTCCGATCACTTTTTGCTTCCGACTTGATTTAAGATCACTTTTAGGTGGTCAGAAATTCCATAATTTGCAGCAGTGAACCTTGAATTTGATTATGGTGTTTAACCCTAGTCAAGTTACTCGGATTGTTGACTTGGTAACCACAAGGTTACAAGTGCAACTCTAATCTTAGTGAGAACAACCTATTACTTTTCTTGGTTTGAGCGGACAGGCCGGGTTTACCCAGTGCAATGTTTAATAAACCTTTGAATTGAATTTGATTCAGGCGGCTAGGGATCGGAACAAAGCTTGTCCAAAGCTTAGAAAATTGGGGTAGAAGCAATGGAGCTGATTATATTTACATGGCCACAGATTGCAGCAATCAAGCATCCATAAACCTGTTCACCGGAACATTGAACTACGTTAAATTCCGAACCCCATCGGTCTTAGTACAGCCCGTTCACCGTCACAAGAAGCCGATAGGCTCCGACGTGGCCGTCGTTAGGGTTCCGCCGCAGCTGGCCGAGTCCTATTACCGGCGAAATTTCGACGGCTCATCGGAGTTCTTCCCCAAGGACATTAACCTGGTTCTCAACAACAAACTAAACCTGGGCACTTTCATGGCCGTCCCCAAAGAAAGCCTCTCAACCTGGGAGCCCGACAGCGGGGTTTTCCCGACCAATCATGCGATACTAAGCATATGGGACGCTAAGGAAGTGTACAAGGTTCAAGTGAAGGGTTTGTCGGCGTTGAAACAAGCTTGCTTTTTGGGAACTAGGGTTTTGGACAGGTTGATCCCATGGATAAGGTTGCCTTCTGTCCCCAATGTGTCCAAGAATTTTGGGTATTATTTCTTGTTCGGGCTTCGCATGGAAGGCCAGAGTGGTTCGGAGATGATGGAATCGTTGTGGGCGTTCGCCCACAACGTGGCTAGAAACGACCGACGAGGTTGCGAGTTGTTGATAGCGGAGGTTAGCCCGGATGACCCTGTCCGAAGGGGAATCCCGCACTGGAAGAATTTTTCGTGGCAAGATTTGTGGTGCATCAAACACTTGAATTTAGTTGGGGATAATAATAATAATAATAAGGCGGCTAACATCGTACATGATTCTTCGGAGGATTCGATTATGTACCATGATTCTTCTGCTCTCATTTTTGTTGATCCTCGCGACATTTGACGACGGTTTTTATTTATTTCATTTGCATGCTGCAATTTGTATACTTCTATAATATATTTTAAGTCAATTTTATTCCTGTGCCTATACTAACGGACTAACGTCCTGTTTGGTAACATAGTTAACTTATCAGCCAATTTTGACTTATTTGACTACTATTAGTTGTTTGATTTGGTTAAACAATCAATGTGGTTGATTAATTAGCTTTTTGTAAAATTTTATTGCTCCAAAATTATAAAATTCAAAAGGCTGTTCAAAGCAGTTTTTTCGTTTAGTTGAGAATGCCATTTTGCATGTAATCAACTATCAGCTAACAGTTAATTTACCAAACATTTTTCTATAATTAGCTAATGTTATCAACTAGCCAAACTATTATTAACTCAATCAGCTAACAACTATTTACCAAACACCCCCTAACACCCTTGTAGCCTAATGCAAGAAGTGTAATAATAATCAATAATCTATCTATATAAAAGCATTTGTTGCAAAAATGGAAAAAAAAAATGTTTCCCACAACCAATGGGGATTGGAAAAAAAATGACGCCGTTTTGAGTAAATGTGAAATTCTGCATTGCTTGTGGGAAAATCTTTGTTCCAATCCCCATTGGTTGTTCAGTTTTATCAGAATAAAAATAAATAAATAAATAAATAATTAGTATTTAATTTTTTTAACAAGATTATAATTAATCAACTTCTTGCAAATTTCCTCCGTATAATTCAGATGCAAGAAGTGTAATAATTTTCTTATTAAAAGGAGAAAGGATGAGAAAAATCCCTCACTCAACTTTCAACTCCAACTGTACATTATTCATAACACTCCGCAAGTGTAATAGAATGGAACATATTGAAACAACATTTTTCTTTTTAGAAAATGATTAGGCCGGGGACATTTTTTAATCTAGATAGTATCATATTTCAATCCCTATTTGATTATCAAAAATGTTACATTACTTCAAAACATTATTATTATATACTTCTTCTCCCAACATGATTATATACTTTGTAAAACTCTTGCTAATAGAGAGAAGCTTGGGAGAACCTAGCAAATTATACTGTAGGCCATGAATAAATTAATGTTCATTTTGAATATATTGAAAGTTCATTATTTGATTGTATATATTAAATAATGAACATTCAGTATATATATAAACTAGTAATTCACCCGCGCGCGATGCACGGGAAAAAATTATGGTATTATAAATATAAATAAAAAATAAAAAAATTAAAATATTTTAAATTATTTAATATAATAATATTTTTGAGCTTCCATTGGTCAAGTATTTATTATTTTTATAGAATACAAAATTACAATTAAAATTAAAATTATAATTATAATTATAATTTTGTATGGTTAATATAATCTCTAATTATGTGCATATTCAAATAAACTTATGGAGAGAATTTACATAATTACATTGATTTATTCTTAATTGTATTTCATCTATATTATAATTTTCACAATACGAATAATAACTAAGAGAATTACATTTGGAAAGAAAATTTCAAATTTTGTATGTGTAAATTTAAACTCTAATTGAACATATTTTTTATATGATTATATAATATATAGCTATTTTATTTTTTAAAAGTATATTTTTTATATGATTATATAATATATAGATATTTTATTTTTTAAATGTTGTGTTTTTTTTTTTTTCACAATATGAATAATAACTAAGATAATTACATTTGGAAAGAAAATTTCAAATTTTGTATTTGTAAATTTAAACTCTAATTGAACACATTTTTTATATGATTATATAATATATAGCTATTTTATTTTTCAAAAGTATATTTTTTATATGATTATATAATATATAGCTATTTTATTTTTTAAATGTTTTGCTTTTTTTTTTTTATAATAAAGGATGTTGTGGCATTAATTGTAACATTAATTATTTTCCAAACCATATAGCTTTATTATATAAAGGATAATGAACCTTCAAAAAATAAACATTATTCAATGTATTAAAAATAAACATTTACTATATTAAAAATGTAACTTATATTAGTAGTTTTTTTTTATAAGGTGCACCACAGTTTATAGTACAATGATTGAGTTTAGACTTTTAGTTGGGATGGACTAAATGCTTCAATTATCATTATATACTAGTAAGAGAGCAATTACGAGAAGAAATCAGTAATCATTCTTCGCCTTTTTAATATAAATGAAAGAAGAGAAAATTACATCCTCCCACATGCTTTGTCGAGTCGGAGTGTGGGGGACCCTTAGGGTTGGGGATTCAGCATTTTGGGGTAAGAAAGAAGAGAAAACAAATAAAGGATAAACAAGATTATTTTAATACTAATACGAATTGTATTACATGTTCTCATATTATTTTATATTTTTTTTTTATTTTAATGTGTTAATTGATTATTGTTTTAAAAAAAGTATCACTTTATTTCATATTTTTTTTCTGTTCAAATCATTAACGTGTCGATCTCCAAAGCTTTCGGCTAAAGAGCTATTTAATAATTAGCTTTTATGAGTTTAAAAACATGCATGCGAGTCTAATGAATTAATCCTTTATTCTCAAAAAAAAAAAAAAAACATGCATGCGAGCGAGCATCAAAATTGATGATGGCTTAGTACTACGTTGCACCGCATGATGCGGGGGTTAGCTTTACCACATTTCCACTAGTGGAAATTATGAAATTTCCGACCACCTGAAAGTGATTTTAAATCAAGTTGATACCAAAAAGTGATCGAAAATAGCAACAAAGGTTTTTCCGGACACCAAAAGTAGTCGAAACAAGGTTTTTGACTTGATTTAAGATCACTTTTAGATGGTCGAAAATTTCATAATTTCCAGTAGTGTTCCGAGCACTAGGCCAAAGGACCACATTCCCAATAACTTAGCTATGTGGTTTCCACACAATTAAAGCTACCTTCTCATCTTGCTTTTCTTTAAAAATCATAAACTAAAACAAAATAAAGTTTTTGTGTTTCACCATATTATATGCTAGATCGCATGAACTTGTCCTTATGCTTTCGCACAAGGAATATATCTCAAACTCAAACGATCAATATTCGTGACAAAGATCAAACTCTATCGTACTTTTGTTGAAAACAAGTCTTAAGCTGACTTTATCATACCCATTATGCCACTTTCTAAGTGATGTAAAAGAAAATATATATATATATATATATATATATATATATATATATATATATATTTTAATGTATGCGTGGCTAACAAACTTGCTACATACTTTAACAAGTTTGCTAATGGCAACTTTTGATGCCAAAAGCTGTTGCATCATTATTATTATTATTATTATTATTATTATTATTATTATTATTATGCATAGGAGATTAATGTGCATAACTATCTGGTTTATGGTATGTACATACTGGGGGTATTTGTTAAATGGTTGTTAATTAGCTGATAACATTTAGCTGATTGAGTTAGTGGGTTTGATTAGTTGATTGTAGAAAAGTGTTTGGCAAGTAAAATGTTAGCTGACAGCTGATTACATATCAAATGACTTTCTCAAAAAAACTTATCAAAAAAGTTTCTCTGAACAACTTTTTGAATTTTAACATTTTAAAGCAATAAATTGTTACAAAAAGTTAATTAATCAAATAATCATATTGATTGTTTAACCAAGTCAAACAGCTAATAATAATCAAATAAATCAAAATTAATTAATAAACATATCATTTTATCAAACAAGTCCACGGTATAAATTGCCATCAAATATACCTCACATAATCCATACTCTAATCGTACAACAATAAAGATATTTAGTTCAAACATTGGAATTAAAATGATAATTAGAATCAAATACTTGATAACTGTAATGGATATAAGTTGAAGAAATCTCTTTGTTTGCATTTGTTTGAATATATATTGTTGGATCTCAGCGATGCACTATGCTCACGAGATCACCCATTCAAGGATTGTCGGAAATCAAGCACGCTTAACCACAGAGTTCTCTGTTACCTGGTTACTAACTTACTATATCCTACTCAATAAACAATGCATATTTAATGCATAAACAATAATATTTTTATTTGTTTTATTTTTTCTTCCTCAATTTTTATTCCACTATTCAAAAGTAGGAAATGAGAAGGATAATGAGTTTTATAATTACTAGTATTTTCGCCCGTGCGATGCACGGGATAGATTTGTTATAATATATTAAAAATATTTGGATTGATATATAATTATTTAAATTAGAACATTAAATATTATACAGTGCAATGGAAGATATGTTTTGAATTATTTATGTGTTTTGATGTTATCATTGTTTGAATTTGAGCAAATAATTGCTCAAATTAATAGCTTATGTGTAAATGTACGCATGCGATGCAGTAACTTTGGAGATTTTATTTATCATTGTTTAGTGCTTTTTTTTTATAAATTAGGCAAATGTGTTCGTTCTCTAGCAACTCAGTTATATGAATGAATTGCTATCTTAATTCATTTGTATGGAATATATATATATATATATATATATATATATATATATATATATATATATATATATATATATATATATATATATATATGTCTAGATATATAGCAATTTTGCCATTTAAAAAAAAAACATAATATCAACGATTGTATTTACACATTATTGAAACCTGTTTGTAGATGACATCGGTTGTAGCAACGCAATCCTGTCCATCATCGTATAGAGCTAACACCTTCAGTCTTTCAGGATAGGTGACTCGGATGAAAATATATAATGGTAGAGTATTAGTCAATTAGCGATCCTTTTATATTTTAAGTCAATTAGTAATATCAAATTCATTTTCAGCAAATTATTCTTTTATATTTTTAGTCAATTAGTCAATTAGAATATCATATGCAGTGATATTTTTACCTAATTTTTGTTTAATTTTTAATTGATGATGTATAATATTATTATTGAAATATTTACGTTCCATTTTTAATTTATCTTTAATATTGTTTAAAATATGCATTTACTATTCATGATGTAGAATTATTATTGAAATATTTCCGTCATATTTTAGTTTCCGTTCCATTTTTAATTAAAATGTAATGATCTAACCATTTATTTTTTTCATATTAATCAATTATGGATCATTTTTTATTTGCAGTC